CTTTTGGCAGGAGGTCTCAGTGGTGGCAGCAGCTGTAGAAGTAGGATCCACTCCTCTGGCCCAGATCAACGCCCTTCTCCTCTGGAAGAGAGCAGGAGTGGGCAGGCTGTCGGCACGGCCGCACCTCCGTGGAGCCCAGTATCTGCTGGTCCCAGGATTGCGCCCTGGCGGGTTCCTCGGGGAGGGGTTTGGTGCCCCCCCAGAGGCTCATGGGCACAGCATGGCCCAGGGCTGGAGGCGCAGCCGAGCCGAGCAAGCAGGCCTGGTGCGGAGCTGACAGCTCCTGGCTGCCCATTTGCCAAAGGCCAACCTGCAGCCCAGTGGGGGTGGATGTGCCATGCTCGGCCTGGCTGGGACACGCACGGAGATGCTGCAGTGGGACCAGGAACACCCCCAGCACAGACCTGCAGCAGCCCCAGGGAGGGTGAGGGCGAGGGAGGGCCCTTGCCAGACCCCACAGCACCCGTCCTCCACACCCTCCCCAGGTGCTTGTGCATCTTCCGGCACAGAAGAGGGTACTTAGGGTGGGATGGGTCCTGCCCGCTCACCTGTCATCACCTGGAAGGCAGTCAAGTGGACGTAGTCCTCAGCCACCTTCTGGAACAGCTCATCTGGGGGAGAGGAGGCAGGGTGGGTGCGGGCCCCCCCACCAGGCAGAGCACCCCCAGTCCTGCTCAGGCAGGGACATGGCAGCAGCGAGGAGGATACTCACCCACACTCTGGCCTGTCTTACTGGAGGTCTCAAACAGCTCTGCCTTGATCTCTGAAACAAAGTCCCAGGTCAGTGCCCACTGCGGGTGCAGGATGTGCCCCTGCGAGCTCGTTCCCCCCCACCCCCACATCACCCCTCGGGCACAGCTGCAGGCTGGCGGGGGCCCTGTGCAGGGCTCTGTGCTCCTGTCCCCTTGGCCCAGCTGGCCCCATGCCGGCCCTGTGTCAGGACATGCTGTGCCCAGGGAGATCCCTGGCAGAGTCAGGGCTTCACCACATGGGGATCCTCGACGGCTGGACACCAGATCTGCTGCGGATCAGGGGCAGAGCCCCTCACACCCCACAGGCACATGCAGATGCAGTAGCTCCATATTCCCCCAGCCCCCCACCCAAAGTCCAGGAAGGGCCAGCACTGCCCGTCTGTGAGTGCCCAGGCTGTGCCGTGCCTGGCCGTACCATCAGCGTAGTCCTGCACGTCGTGGAAGTCGACTCCCCGCTTCCTCCTGTCCTCCTCCAGCAGATCGCTCTTGGTGCCACACAGGTAGATCCGGCAGCCCTGCGGCAGGCAGAGGGGTGGGAGGGACATGCCCATGGGCCCAGCGCTGCCACCGGTTCCCCTTCCCCTCCGGCAAGGCTCTGCAGTCCCGCAATACCCCGAGCCCAGCCGTACCTCCTCGCAGTTCTGCAACTCGTTCACCCAGAACTTGGCTCGCTGGAAACTGCTGCTGTCAGTGAGATCTGGGGGAGAGTGGTCAGCGTCAGCCCCCTCCCTCCTGGACCCAGCACCTGACCCACGGACACCGGC